CCTGCTGAAGCCTAGTGGGAAAGGGCTTGGGATTTTCCAAAGCTGCTTTAGAGCTGAAATTGCATGAAAAAACATTGGGCAGTTGTACTTCTACATCCTGTGGGGTCTCCCGAGAATCCCATCATCAAAAAAAGCTTTTGTCTGTCCCCTCATGGCATCCTTGGATGTGAGAGCCCATCAGGCAGTAGCTGCTGCTTGCCCTTTTATGCATGCTGGCTGGATTGTAGGTGTTTTGTTTCCCCCTTTATTGTCTGACAGAATCAAAAGATGATGGCTGATATCTGTTGCAGCTTTCCAGTCTCTTACAGACAGAGACACAGAATTGTCACAGGTGGAAAAGACCTACAAGATCACTGCGTCCAACTGTCAGCACCTCCTGCCCTAAAAACAAACTAAACACAAAACCACCCATTAGAGCATGTCCTGAAGTGCATTTAAGTGCCTCTAGGGGTGGTGACTTCACCACCTCCCTGTGCAGCCCCTTCCAGGGTCTGACCACTCTTTCAGTAATTATTCCTAATATCCCATCTAAACCCCCCTGGCCCAACTTCAGGCACTTTCCTCTGGTCCCGTCGTTATCAGGGCTGAGCCAGATCCATCTGACGTGCTGGGCCAGGTGGGAGAACCAAGCTCTGGAGGTGGCCAGATCCCCTGGGAGATCTTGGGGTGTCTCAGTGTCTCCTTGTCCCCAGGTTATGCGCTACCAGGTGCTGCTGTCACTGATGCTCTCCAGCCAGACCAAGGACCAAGTGACCTGGGGGGCCATGCGGCGCCTGCGGCAGCGCGGCCTCACCGTTGACTCTGTCCTGCAGATGGAGGATGCCACCCTGGGGGAGATCATTTATCCCGTGGGATTCTGGAGGGTGAGTGCCAGGAACGTGGCAGCACCCAGTGTGCAGGCAGAGGAACCCCCTGCACCATCCTCTGCTCCCACGCAGCCACCTGAGACTGCTCCGAGGCGCAGGAGGGGGGCACAGGGTGTCCTGTTTGGGCTGCACTCGAGGCTGCATTTCACTCCAGTTTTAAGCAGTTTGTGTTCACAGTGAAACTGCTGCAGTGCCTGGAGGGCAGAGCTCCTCAGGTCTCAGCATTTTTGCTTTCAAGGAGAAATCAAAGACCTCCCCTCCCCAAACTTCACTGTGTGGCCTCACATGTAACGTACACTCAGGGATTGTTTTGTTTTCTGAGCTGCTTGTCTCTCTGTTCCCTCAGTTTGAGGGTAACTCGGGTTTCTGCCTTTCCCCTGGTTTTCCAGAACAAGGTGAAATACATAAAGCAGACAACAGCCATCCTGAAGCAGAAATACGGGGGTGACATCCCAAAGACAGTGGAGGAGCTGGTGCAGTTGCCAGGAGTCGGGCCCAAAATGGCCCACTTGGCCATGAACATCGCCTGGGACAGTGTGTCTGGGATAGGTAGGTTGGGCTGTGTGTTCCCCATTCCTCTCCTAAATCCTGCCTGATCCATTCCCTGGGCACTGGGGAAGCACTGTAGCTAGAAAACCTGCCTGCCTCAGCAGCCTGATAGCATCACTTAGTTTAGCCACCTGCAGAATATTTGTGGGGGGCTGAAGGATGTGACCCTCAACCACTTGCAACAGGTGAGTTGCTGTAGGATTCAATTATGGGCCCAGCTACTGCTTTTCCCCAAATCTGATAGCAGAAACCCCTGAGGGCAGTCACTCCCTCCCCCTGAGCTGCTGGTGGGCAGTGCAAGTAGTGCTGGAAAGAAGTGGGGCTGAGCCCAAGTTACCATTTGAAATGGGTAATTTGTGGTGGAATGTGGAAAGAAACGGACTGGGGCTATGGGAGCTCCAGAGTTTGGGATCTGTGGCAGTTCCTGCTGCTGGGCAGCCAGAGCCCACAGGTACCTTTGTTGTGCCATGTTGATTGACCAGGGGGAAGGTTTCTCCCACACGTTGGGAGCGTAGCTGGTAGCTGAGCTGCCAGCAGATGGAGCTGGACAGTCAGCTCGGCTTGGGGGGCCCCCTGGGGACAGATTAATATTCCAAGTATATTTGCTGGTTAATGGAGGAGCCCTGGGAAAGCCGGGAATGCTGCTACCTGAGGAATGCCAGCACGCAGCTCCAGGACAGCGTCCCCTGCCCCAGTGACCATCAGCTGGACACAATGTGGCTCTTGCCCTGGATTCGTCAGCTCTTGGGGTCTGTTCTCTCCCTGCTGAGGGGAAGGGAAGGCTGGAGGGAGCCAAACTGGCCAACTGTTTTCCAAATAATTGTGTGCTCAGTTTTGATTTAGGAGGCACGACTCTGTCTTCCTGTTTACAGCAATTTCCTGGGTTTTGCCCAATTAGCCATAGAGACAGGTTTATCGCAGCTGATCTAACAATAATATACTTTGCATTCAGGGCTTTTTAGCTCAAAGCACTTTATAAACATTGGTTTAAGCCTCACAAACCCTCTTGTGTTGGTAGGTATTATGAAATGTGTTTTCCATCTGGGTAAAGAAGAGGCAGAGCTGGCAGCTTGTGTAAGCTCAGCTGAAAGGCAGGGAGGAAGGGAGCCCGGGACAGGCTGCCCTGCTGGAACAGAGCTCAGGGAGCTCTGGGGAAGGCTGGGCCAGCTCCTGTGAGCCTGTCACTAGCTGTGTGCTGTGAGACACCCACCCCATCCTGCTTTTGGCTCTAGGCCTCGGGAGAGGGCAAGCAGGGTTGTGCTGGGAGCCTCCTCTCCTCTGTGCCTGCTGGGCTGCAACGGGCAGCTTGGGGCTCTGCTCTCTCCTTCCAGGGGTATCTGCCCCCACCTAAACTCTGGGTTCTCCCTTCCTAGCTGTGGACACCCACGTGCACAGGATCACAAACAGGCTGAAGTGGGTGAAGAAGGAGACCAGGTACCCTGAGGAGACTCGGGTAGCACTGGAGGCCTGGCTGCCCAGGTGAGACCTCAGCCTCCTTCCTCCACTGCTGCTTCATCTTCAGTATCAGATGCCAGCTGACAGGTGCTCTGTTGCATCTCCACGTCTGGCACACGCCAGAGCACAAGGACATGGCCACAGGCACTCTGAGTGCTTGGTCTCTGTTCCCCATCCCAGTCCAGAGGGATTGGGAAAGGTTAGGAGGGCTGTTCTTAGCAGAACCAGGCACCTTGGGAAGCCAAGAGGAGCAGGCAGTGGGGGAAAGGGATCCGTTCAAAAGCACGGGCTGTTCTCTAACCCCCCCTAGCAGCTCTATCGGAAAGCTCATGGGTTTGGTTTTTTTTTTGTTTTCTCCTCTCTCTGCAGGGATCTCTGGAGGGAGATAAACTGGCTCTTGGTGGGCTTCGGCCAGCAGACCTGCCTGCCCGTGAACCCCCGCTGCAGCGAGTGCCTCAACCAGGACATCTGCCCAGCTGCCAAGAGATGCTGAGGGCTCCTCCGGGCTGGGCAGAGCAGCCAGCCCAGCTGCTGGGGCCGCGGGAAGCAGGAGCCTCCTGCAGGCAGCCCCGCAGTGCTGGGAGGCACCAGTGCCTGAGCTCTGCTCAGGAAAAAGGGCTTTCCAAGAGCTCAGCGTTCCTGCTGCCCGCGCTGCCGGCTCCAGCACAGCCCAGAGAAACGCTTTGTCTCAGGGAACTGGCTGCTGCTTGGCAATGCATGCTGAATAAAGGTGGTGGGGGTGGGTTGTTGGTTTTTTTTTCACCCGTGAGGTTTGCTGGCATCTGTGAGAGACAGGGCGAGGGGAGGAGAGCACGGGTGACCTCCCCAGGCATGAGGCTGTAGCAACCAGCCCTGCCTGCCCAGCCCTAGGGCACTGCTGGGCATGAGGTACAGCTGAGCACTTCAGGATCAGAGGAGGCCACTGCCTGGACAAGTGAACTTTGGCTCTCGGTTGCAGGGGGCAATGCAGAGCAGGGCAGGCAGGAGACAAACCAGCAGCACTCTCAGGTCTGCGTGTGTCAGCAAGGGTTACAGCGGCCACAGGATCCAGGCTGGTGTGTGCCTCAAGCTGACAGAGGGACACACCACCTCTGTGTTCTTGTTCTTCAAAGAAAGGGCAGTGCTGACTTCATTGTCGAGCTTCAAAGGAATAATTTCAGCTACTCTTTAAACAGGCAAGGGAGGAAGCAACGTTTACAATGTGCTACCGAAGGCTGTCATTCCCTCTGAAGTTCCCCACCAAACAGATGAGGAAGGAGCAAATAAGTACTTGGTACATGGGGAAACAAAGTTTATTACTGACATTGCAGTGTACATTATGTTTTTACAATGTAGCTGACAGCCTTACATTTTATTGATTCTTTTTTCTTCCAAGTTAAATGTACAGGAACTGAATAATTACTACTGAGCTACAAGATGTCAGAAATACACTAAGTGCTTGAACCAGGAGCAGTTTCCATGGACTAAGCAGAGATTAAGATTTTAAAATCTTATCAGTACAGATTTGCACACCTGATTTCTTTTGATCTGCATTCAGAACTACATGTTCTTCCCTCCCCCTCCTCCTCACCTACAGTGGTCCAGTCTTGTAGGAGCAGTGCAGTATTTACAGATGGGTCTTTGCTCTCTGACATGCTTGGGAGAGCAGGATGTTCAGGTCAGGGAGACAGGGAATGTCTGCCCTGGGCAGAGCTGGGGGCACTGCTGGGCTTTGGCTGTGCAGGCATGGGAAGCAACACACAGACCATGAAGAAGAAGGGCTCCTTCAAAAGATTACTGATGTAGAGAAGTAAACATTGCGAGGGTGGCAAAAAGAGAGCAGGAAATTGTCTTTGTAGTGGGGCAGAGGTGTCTTGTTAATGGCAGGTTCCCGGAGGGGAGGCAAACCTCTCAGCTTCCTGATCCATCATCCTGCTGCCAGTCTCCTCCCTGATAGCCAAACACCTGCACCACTTCCAAAGTCGTTTTCTTCAACCTGTTCAGCCCATCAGCATTCCTAACGGGTAACTTTCAGAAAAGAGAACTCATCTCCTGCACCCCTGAGACTTTCCCTGCTCTCCTGCCAGCCAGCAAACAGCCGTGGGCATCAGCTGCTCCCCATGGTGGAGCCAAATGTCCTGGCTGTGCTGCTGCAGTCCCTGCCCACACTGACCCCCAGCCTGCTGCCCAGCAGAGCAGTACATGTTATAAGGCACCTTTGAGCTCAGTATTTCAGAAATACACACAGAGCTGTTACCACATCCCTGATAAACCCAGAGGCCACAGGGCTTCCAGCACCAGTGCTGGGGTGAGGCAGTGAGCTCAGCACATGCTGTGGAGTGGCCCATCCACGGCCAAGGGGTCACTGCCACTTGCTTTTAGCTGGGGAAAGTGGTTTTGTACTTGCTTGTCCTGCTGTGCCTGGTCCCTTCCCATGGCTGCCTTGGCATTGGAACTGAAATACCAGGAGCTGCTGGAGCATGGGAGGGAGAGGACCAGCCCTGTCACAGCTGGGACCCTGCCCTGGGAAAACACCTCAGTCTGCAGCCCCCGAGAGCCTTGTTCAGCTTAGTCATCTTCCCTCATTTACAGCCAAAGGCATTTAATACAGAGCATAAATGGGTTTCATCTGTAACACTTTAAAGATCCATTTTTGAGACTCTCATTCCCAGAGCAGTGTGTTTTCAAGAATCCAAACAAAGCCAAAACTGCCCCCTCCATCACACCGCTGCCTGCTTCACAGCCAGCCCCACAGAGACCCCACGGCTTCCCAGGGCACCTCCCAGAGACCCCACAGCTTTGGAGGACACCTCTCAATGGCAAGAGCCTCATGGGCTGGAGACACCAAATACCAACCCCAAAGCAACAAACCAGGTGGGACCTTGACCCTGCTCCAGGACCCAGCACCCAGACACAGCCAGGGCTGAGCCCCATCGGCCCCACACCAACCCTGCAGCTGGAGCTGGATCCTGTGTTCCTCCCTGCAAACAGACACTGGGTCGTGCTCACTTCCAAGTCAGTCCAAAGAGTTTTTGTAGCATCTCGTGGCTCTTCTCTCGTGAGGCTGCAGGAGCTGTGCCTGCAGCACCGTGGGGCAGGACTGGCCCCACTCTGCCTTCCCCTGCCGCTCCGCGCTGCATCCACGGCTGCAAACAGCAAGGCCTGGGGCATCTGGGCTGCTGGGCTTGGGGTTTGTTTATAAAAGCTGCCCTCTCCCCTCTGCAGAGCTGTCGGGGATGAAAAAGGGGCTTTTATTGCCAGGGCAGGAGTCACTGGTGGGAAGGGAGGTTCCGAAACTAATTGGAAACATACGGATCTCGATTTAAAAAAAACAAAACAACACAACAAAAACAACAAAACTTTTTCAATAGCAAAGCCAGCAAGAGCAATTCACAGCCACTGTCCATTTTCCCACCATGTGAGTAGATGGGATTCCAGGGAGGGGGTGGCAGGTACACCCCATCCTTTGGGTCCTCCCCACAGTGGGGGCACAAGGCTGTCAGATGCTTGCTCAGGGGCACAGAGCATCCCATGGGGCTCAGTCTGGGACACTCACAAAACCAAAACAAACACCTCAAATAATAAAAAAAATATAATAGAAGCCTAAATGATGCAGGTAAGAAACAGCTAAACAATTCCAGTCCTTTCTCATCGGAACGGGGACGGCAGGAGCCAGAGCTGGGCTGAAGGGTGAGCAAGGAGCTTTGGTCACATTGGTCGTATGAGAATCGCTGGTGTGTAACAACAACAACAACAATAATAATAATAATAAAATATAAAATAAAAAAGGACTTTAAAATACGCCTTGTAAAAGCAACCAGTGAAGAGCAGAGCACAAAGCATCTCACGTGGACACTGAAGGACAGGGCGTAGGCACCTCAGAAACGTCCGAGCTGGGGCAGGGCAGGAGGGCAGCACAGGGACCACCAGCAGGGCTCAGAAATTGCTGAAAATCTCTCTCTTCTTGTTCCAGTCCATCTGTGGAGCCCTCTTCTTCACCCGCTTGGCCCGCACCTTCTCCTTGGCCTCGGCAGCTGTGGGGCTCAGGCTCAGGCCACTCTCCTCAAACGGGTCCCTCTTCTCCACGTCTCCATCCTGCGTGGGGAAGGGAGACAAGGGGTCAGCCCAGGGCAGTGCCCCCCCTGCCCCACTGACCAGGCTGTCCTGCAGCCTCTCACAGCCCAGCACAGATGGTTCCTCCAGTGCACAAGCAAATGCACAGGAGTAGGGGGGGTTTTTTGGAGCAGAAGGTGCAAGTCCCTCCCCCGTGCTGTGCCTGTGGTTTCTCTGGCAGCAGCAGCGTCCCTGTGGCCACACAGTTAATGACTACATTGTGTTTTGTGGGGTTTGTTTGGGGTTTGGTGGCGTTTTCTTTCTTCCTTCCTTTCTTTCCCTGCCTGCAGAACGTGCTGCTGCCACGGCTGGGAGTGGAAAAGCAGAAACAGAGAAGCTGCCGCCAGAGGGAAAATTAGCTGCTCTGCTTGTCTGCAGGGGAAATGAAAAATAAACCCCTGGTTCAGGCAGAAAGCAGGGATGAGGGAGAGAGGTGGGAGAGCCTGGGGACTGGAAAAGAGGGGCTACAGCAAGGCCCCCCCATCTTCTGCCTGAGCACCCGTTTGCTCCTGAGCACCTGTGGGTAACTGAGGTGGGGACAGGGTGTGTGGGAGAGCAGGAGAGCTGGTCATGCCCAGCACAGCCACTGCACAACACCAGTCAAGGCAGTATTTGCTCTGGGAACTGCACTGAAACCATCATTTTTCCATCTGCTTAATAAAAGTACTTTTATAATGACAAAATTAACTTTCCTTTCTAAGTCACTGCCACCACGGGAATGTGTCCTCAAGCCAGGCCTCCCAGGTGCCCCATCCCTGACACCCTTGTTCCTGCAGTAGGTTTGTGAACACAAACTGAACCTGAGGGTGTCTGGAAGGGACACACCAGCTCTGGGCTGGGGATAGAGCCACAGGCAAAGCCCTGACACCCCCAGGGACTTGCCTTGCTGGGACAGCATCTCCAAAACAGCCCAAAGGTGACTCCACGGGAGCAGCAGGACACAGCCTGGTATTCCAAAGGCAGCAGCCATTGGATCAGGACATGTATTATTCAATGCTCAGAGAGAAAGGCAGATGCCAGACTGCAGGCGTTTGGCCACAGCCCTGGGACACAGCTGGTGTCTGAGAGGTTTTGCAGGCTCTGGGTGCCCAGGAGGCTGCGTGAGCCCCCAGTGCTGCCACGCTCCAGCTCCCGGCCCTCCTGGGGCAGGACATGGGCACTGGGACCAGCACAGACCCCATGGAGCACCTGCATGAAACCATCCCACTATTTTTTGGCAGAGCCACACACTAAAGAGAAATTCTTGAGTGCTTTAGAAATCTCCTACTTATTATTTTAAGGAAAAAGCCAGAATCAGTAACACCAGGAGAATACCAGCCTCTGCCTTGTGTTTACTTGTGGCTCCTGGTTCACCCTGCACAGCAGGGTCTGACTCTTCTCTGCAGCCTTCAGCCAAGCTCCACCAAACGGCTCCAGCCCTGCAGGTGACCAAAACCCACCTCTCCCTCCTTCAGCATCTCCTTTAAATGCTGTGATAAATTCCTGTGCTCTAAGCTAAAAGCAACTGGGCTTTTTTAAAATTTTAGCCTTCCTCGTTCCTATTAGCAGCACTTGAACTGCTCAGCCCAGCTCCTCCTGCCCTCCCAGCTTCCCCTCTTGCCCTGTAGCTCATCAGGACAATTACACTCCAGACCCAAAACTCTTGCAGACATCCTTTCACCAATGCACCCCAGCCTGCAAGACAAAGCTGAGCAGAGGCTGAAATGCATCCTGACAAGTGTGTAGCTACAACAGCATTTCAAAGGGAGGGGGAATGGGTGGGGGTTTTACCTCTGATTCCTTCCCAGGACTTTGAAGGTCACTGTGAGATGAAGATGTGGATCCTCCATTCAGCTAGTAGGAATTCAAATGTTAGTCCAGTTTACACAAAGGTAGAATTAAAAAAAAAAATAAAAAGCTGGGCAGAAAAATGCTCCAGCCTGGTGGGACAGAGACTGGGCAACACCAGGCTTGTCCAGGACCAGGACCAGAGCCTGGAGGGGGGGGTCCTGCCAAAGGGACCCTGCACACACACCTGTGCACACACACCTGTGCACACACAGGAGCTCCCTGGGATTTCCCAGCAGAGCTGCTGCTCTCCCGCCTCCCCCACTCCAGGCAGCCACTCAACTCCTTCTCCTCATCACAGGGATTAAACGGGGCTGAGACCAGCCTTGCTCAACCCCGAAATTACAGCTGCAGCAGGAAGCAATTAAAACCAGCCAGCAGCAGTTGAGCTGAACTAAACGAGCCAAGCTAACGAGCCTTGGGGACATTATGAGCATCTCTCTCTGCTCTGCAGACTGTCAAGTCACCCTGACAGGCTGATGGGTCACAGGCAGGAGGCAAGGAAAAGGCAGCATGCTGAGAGCCTGGCACCTCTCCCCCATCCCTCCTGATCCCTCCCACACATTCCCCTGAACTGATGCAACCCGGGATGCTGCCCAGCCACCCTGCCTGTCAGGGCCTCCTGGATCCAGCAGGTCCTCACCTGGGTCTGGGCGGATCCATTTGTCATGGGCTGAGGCACCAAACCTACAGACCACAAAGAAAATACACAGTAAAAACACTCAGCTGGGACTGCTGTCCCAGGCAAAAGCTTGTCCATTCCCTCCCCTTGTGCCCTCCTGGAACCAAACTCCTTCCACTTCCCCCAACTTCACTTGATTTCACCCTGTTTGCATCGGGAGAAAACACCTTCCAGGAAGGGGACCAAGGAACTTCCTTCTATGAGCACAAAAGCAGCAACTCCCACTGGTTTGATGGTTGAGGAGCTTTTCTTCAGATGACTTTTAATCAGAAATCTTAAAAAACAACCCAACGTTCTTCACCCAAATCAGCACCTTGTTGGTGTCACAACAGCGTGTGGCCAGCTACCCCCTCCCCAGGTTCCCTTGTTGCTCACTTCCAATGATTTACACTGATAATACTCCATGGGGTGGCCAATGTAATGAGCTCAGCTGCTGGTCACCACAATGAAGTCATTGCTAAAGGCATTACCATGTCTCATCTGTCCCAGGCTAACAGATGTGTCAATTGTGACAGGATTAACAACTGAATTATGTCAAGCATCAATGCTCCTTGTGTGCATCTCTCCAGCAGAAGACAACGACGTGGATGCACGTTGCTCTGTAAACTCAAATCCAGTGGAGCAAGAGCAGCCCATGGAGCCAAACACAGAAGCCCAGAGCAAGGGACTGCACAGCTCCAAACCCATTGCCTCCCTGCACCATGTATAGACATGGCTGGCATTTGCTCCATTTGGGAGCTGCAGGGATTCCTACTGTAAACCAGGGCACCTTTGCAAATAAACAACAAATCCAAATCACTGTTTTGAGAGTGTGCTGGTGCAAAAGCCTCAGCTATGGTGTTGGGATCCAAGTGTTTTATCACACTGAATACTGGACTCATTGTTACAGCATAAGCTCCAAGCAACCAGCATCAGAATATGGGCAGCTCAGAGC